CTTCTTAAAATCCTCTAGCCATGAATTCTGAAAAAAACTGGATTTCTAACATCAGCCACAAAATATGCTTTCTTGAAGCAACTGGGAGAGACATATTACTGCTTACTGTTCATATAAGCAAAACGTACACACAAGGGATCAAGATTTCCTTTGGGGCTCAGAAGAAACACTATCCTTTCTGGGAGGAATGGCGGCCAGCTTTGGGACACAAAGTCATTATGGTGAAGTCTACAAAATTACCAATCTCCTCTCTACTCCCTAAATATTATGAGTTACCAGAAGTCAGACCACAGCATCTTAAGGCTGATTCCTTGTCTTGAGGAAGCAAAGTCTATCCCAAATAATGAGAGTTGAGCCAAAAATCTCTCCCATGGTTGGTTCAACAGGACAGAATCGGAAGTATCTCAACAGTTAGGAGAGACATACTGCAATTCCCAGCGTCTGATCTGAAATAATCATGATAGGTAGCTCCTCCCTCCTTTAAGGAACCACTTCTTCAAAAACAGCAGACTTTCACTGCAAATGCTGACTCAGAAGTCAGGGGAGTCAGGGAAAGACCATTCTTCACTTACCATATTGTCCTCAAGCACCTTTGACCAATCTTGGGGACAAGATACTGGGTTACACAGATGTTTACTGAGACTTAGTGTCAATGAAGGACAACAGGAATTAGACTGTCCTTGATTTGCTTCCCAGGCTTTGGGAGTTAACAATGAGATTAGCTATATAGGGATTTATCTCTGTCTCCCAATTTCCCTACTATTCCTCCATTCTTAGTAATTTTCTTTCTTTGAAAATAAAAATAAAAAAACATCTGGAGCAAGAAAAAAACCCAAGTGAAATACATTTACAAGGATCAGGTACTGCAAACATATCTGATACACAAGTTTTTATGATTTCTGTACCACGCTCTTTGTACTTTATCAATAACTACGTAGATCAAATTAAGTACTACCAGATTCAGAGGTATACAGTTCAAAAAGTGGTAAGAACAAGTCACAGCCTTGAACTGCAGAAGATATTCTCCTTAACTAGTACAAAGATCTTCTGAACAAAACAAAGCTTCAGGAACTATACATACAGAGAAACAGCTGATGACAAAGAATATTTTTCAGACAGGTTAAAGAACTGCCTAATTTACAAGTCCTAGTATTTCTAGACCTCCAATACATAATTGTTTCTTTCTGAATTGCACCTGAAGAAATAAACAGCACAGATTCTTTTAAAATGCTGACTCAAATAGGTAACTTGTTAATTTCATACTATTTAAAAATGAGACAGTCAGTATCCTCCTAGATCCGTACTATTTTCCAATTGCTTTTACTAAAAGTAAGAAGATAAAAACAAAAACATGCTTTCTGTATTAGTTTCATGGTACTTGAGTTTATTCTAGATAATATCTAGTCTTTTTTGGCTTTTTTATTTTTAAGTTAATCAAGTCCAGGGGAGGAAACACACATTTCTGTGTTTTACTTCAGGATTTTCAATTAGAAAACTAAAACAAGATTTAGATTTGCAAAATCATCCTGTGATACAGGGGTTATTTGATCATTTTGTTTCCTAAACCCCACTAACCTCTATGATTTCTGTAGCTTCTCCCCAGCTCTGTCTTTCCTTAAAAGAAGTTATATACCATTTATCTGTTAATGAGGTGTTACAGCTGAAATTTGAATCACACAAGACTCAGGAAATTCAGAGTTAAAGTTTCCACAGTAACTTTAACTTGGCCTCCTTAAATATATGCATTACAATAGGTTTTTCTTTTCTCTCACTCCACTACCCCCATCCTCATTGCCTTGTTTTTCCCTGTGGATATGCTTTTGATCCTGTTTATCAGTTACAGAAGATACTGAAATGTTTCCCCCCCTCTTTGAAGCCGATTCAGGTCTGTTGACTGCTGGTAATGTTGGAAACACTGACATAAGCAAGATTTAAGTATCAGTAGCGTACACAGAAGTGAAAGCAGACAGCTATGTAGCTAGATGGTGTAGAGGGGACAAAAAGGAAAGGGAAACAAGGGTTATCCATTTTCAACTGCATAATATCGGGTTCCAGGAAACTGTGAAGACCCCTCTCCACCAACACTGGGGTGGAACACACCGTCTCCGTTAGTCATTTAAACTTGGAAGGAACAGAATAATATTCCTTATTGGAGCCAGCAAGAGACTAAGCCACAGGAGTTAAAGCAAAAAATATTACTAGTTGCTTTTAAAAGTCTTTTCTTATTTTGTTTGCAAATCTAGAGAACTTCTGTATCAGATTTCAAACTCTACACTCTTCTTCTTAGTGCCTCCTTCCTCCTCTATATCTTCTTGGCATACTCAATATAAACCCTCCCCTCTTGTTTATCTAATGAATATCCCAAAAAGCAGTTAATGCCACCTAGTAAACAAATAGTAAGACACTCACATGTGATACTGTTACTGTGCCTGACTGCTATATTCATTTTACTGCACACCTAAGTCTAGCACATCTACTCAGTTTTGGGGTGCTCAATACCAGACTATTGAGTATACTGTACTTAAATGCACACACAAAGCATTTCATTTATCATGGTTTCCAGACAGTACTGTATATTAATTTTATTTCTGTTACTCTAACCACACAAAACAGATTTAACCAGTAAGGTGCTTAAAACAATGCCAGATGCTATTAATTTATCTACACAAAGAATTCCAGCGTGCCCAACACTGACAGAGTTAAGCTAATTATTCAATGTTTTCACAGTGCCTCACAAGTCAGGTTCCAGGTGTCTGACAAGGCTCCTGAAAAAGCTAATAATAAGCTGGGGGGGGGAAAAAAAAAATCTATGTATTTCTTCCACTTCTTTCAGTGAGAAAGCCAGCCAAGTTCTGGAACATATCTTGCCAAATGGGTTTTGCTAGTTTTTAGGATCTTTGAATTGTTTCATTTCATTCTGTTTCCTTTTGCTCTGATGGCATGCAGAGCCAAAATATTTTCATGAGGTCTTCCTAGTTTAACTAAAGGTAGTATTAACAAACCCCAGGATTTTTATTCCAAAAGAAGCTAAATAGTAATACCCATGTCATAACTATTTAAGGACTGTCCCTAGACAGTATTAAGCCTGTTTTACAAAGTAAAAGCACATGAAGAACCACCTCAATTAAAAATCAGTCTACTATTACTTACCTTTCCCTGTTTTTTCTTAGCTACTTTTGGCTGAATGACTAGCAAGAGGAAAATAGAAATGTATAATATATACATATATGTGTGTATATATATATACACACACATACTATATACTGGCAGTTTACAAATGGGTTTTTCTACTGCTATTGCAATAATTGATAAATGGTGTTCTTAATGTTCATACATATGAACTAAGGAGTACCATGACAATTCTGCATTGGATGTTGAAAAGCAGACACATTTCTGGCAAATCCAAAGAATCCACCCATTTAAAGAGCTGCATTTCTCTCTATTTCTCTGGGCTTATATTCAACCTAGTAGCAATGGCAGACAGGCTGATGAGCCAATTCTACTAAAACCTGCATCTTTATACTCCATCTTGATGACACTGGATTTTTCATATTTTTAAAGCCATAACAAACACTATAAAAACTGTGCTTTACAACATAGCACAGAATTCAATGCTTGAACAAATATATTTTAAATACTCTTAGACAAACAGTTTTCAATTAGGCAACTATTTGTTACATTAACCATTTACTAGTATTTTTGCTTAAACAAATTTGCAACGGTTTGACCTGAAAACACATCAAATCATCCTCTAAACAAATATTAACTTTTCAGCAAAAGGGATGTCTGAAATCCAAGTACAAAACTATACCTGCCATGGATCCAGCCATTAATCGATGCACATGCCCTGAAATCCCAAGTTGCTTCTTTATTACCTGTAAAATACGGAACATTTACAATAGTTGTATATCAGAAAATACAGGGAAGTACATCACACAGTTTATTAGTACATTAATGCAAACTCTGTAGCTGTCTCCGAGAAGCTTACAACACTACAAATTCAAACCAGATCACTTAATTACTGTCAAAGGAATTTCTGAACATTGCTGCCATTACCAATTTCTTATTAAAACCGTTAAAGTGCTAAAATTCTACTAACAAGGCAGAACGATTAGTTGAAAGTATTTGTACTGTTTACTTCAGAAACTAGATTGTTTATTTAGTTATCTTTAATGTGTGTCAAACAAGGCAAACTGAATACTATCCTTGTTGCATGATAGAGAGCAAAGGACACTGAGCAAAGTTGAAAAGTGACACATTTGAGAAGAGTAAATTTTTCTTCCATGCACAGCATGTGAAACACACTCCTATAAAGATATTTCTAACTGGATTTTAAAAAAAAAAAAGAAAAAGAAAAAAAAGGAGAAGAGAGAAATCGGACAAGCATTTGAGAGCAAGAACTTCCTAAGTTACATTACGTCCTGGAAGGAAGTTAGAAATTAGTTTCCAGGCTTTTATCAAATAACTGAGGCTATTTAAGAAGCAGTTTCTGCTATAAAGAAGATCATTTCATATCTTCCTTCTTTAAGAATTGTGGAGTTTTTCCTTTTACATATTCCTGCAAAACATTTTGAATGTTTGTTGTCAATTAATAGATAAAAGAAACTGCTATGATGCTAAGTCATTTCTTGAAATTTGCAGATTCATAAATCATTTCATTATAAAGCACAGCATGCAGTCTTTTATTCAACACAACATAAAACAAGCATAAATCAACAGCATTTATGATTACACCACAAAAAAAAGAACATATGAACCTCACTATGGTTACTTCTTTGTATCAACCTTCTGAAATTTGTGCTTTAGGGAAGGGAATCACAATTTCTATCTCACTGTCTTCAGTAAAGATCATGCAATTTACTTCACTGGGTACTAAATCTGACCTTTCAAACACTGAATTCCTCATTGCTAACAGTAAAATGGTATTTTTCACCACATATAAGCAATGTTTAAAAACATGTTCATGCTAACACCTGACCTCCAAAAGATGTTGCAGGGATTTATTACACATTTATTATGAAAGAGTAAATGCACAAGAGCAGAAAAGAATCCACAAATCTTCTGGGACCCTGAAATGAGCATTTTCTCTTCCAGGTCATTTTTATCTAGAGCCTGACATAGTCATTAGTCAGGTCAAATATAACAGTCATATCCAGACAGACTTTGAAGTCTAAGTTATTCCATCCATCAATTACTAAGAATCCCAACACAATATAATAAAAAGGTTCCATTTTACATTTTGTTCCTACATTATTCACAAAGGGCTACATTATAGCAATACAAATAGCAGACTTTAGATTACCTTTTTCTTTCTTAAAAAAAAAATATTATTCTCAACAATAAGAAGGTACAAAAATCGGTGGGAATTTTTTTCCTTAAGCAACACTGCAAAAAATGTCACTGTTGCCCTGACATTTTTAATGGGTAGATACAGATAAAATTAAGCAACCTTAGAAAAGACATGCAGCTAATTAATAAGATACAAAATTTTCAGTGTTAGTTTCGATCACTTAAAGAATCCGTATTCATTGTAGGCAGAAAAAAAGAAAAGGAAAACAAAATAAATTCAACTACCTTTTTATATTGGTCAAATGCCATAAATTGAATTGCGCCATAGGGAAAGATTCTAATCATCATTGCCCCGTTTCCTTTATACAGCCCAAGGTAACCTTCCTTTTTGGGGACAGCACACAACGTAGAAAACACTCCTGTCAGCAATACAAAAAGAGGTATTAGAGGTATTTCAATTACATGGGGGGAGGAAAAAAAAAAAATCACACAAATGTTACTGACAATAAGAAAGTATGCATAGAACTAAGGCCGGATCATGTTGCTCATGTAACCATAGAGAGTGAAAAATCCACTTTCAATGTCCAAACACTGCCAGAAGGAGGAGGTTTAAGGTTAAGTTTTATCAGCTTTCTAACCTCCCAGACTCAGTGGACCTTTTTCTGAATTCATGCGTTCAGGCCCCTCACACAAATGTTACTGACAATAAGAAAGTATGCATAGAACTAAGGCCGGATCATGTTGCTCATGTAACCATAGAGAGTGAAAAATCCACTTTCAATGTCCAAACACTGCCAGAAGGAGGAGGTTTAAGGTTAAGTTTTATCAGCTTTCTAACCTCCCAGACTCAGTGGACCTTTTTCTGAATTCATGCGTTCAGGCCCCATGACTTGCCTGGGCTGCAAGCAATCCTATCGCAGATGATACTATCCACCCAGAGAAGCTAATACTAGCAACAGAAGGAAGGAAACTGGTTGACTTGCAATTCAGTCAATTCAAAATAAATAAATAAATAAATACTTAAAAATCTAAAACCATGGGAAAACAATCTAATATTGCTACATGCTAAGTTACAGATTAAATGCCGTCACTGAGGAAATGAAGTAAACAAGTTTAAGACTCATTACTTACAACTTAAACATCTCACACTTCCTGTCCCAGAGTTGTTGCAACAAGAAGCAATCCTATTCCCTTTTAATAGGTGGGAAATAATGCAAGATCACACAAAGTTTGGGCAAAACCTACAGTTTTATTACAAACATATTATTAGTTACGCACAATTGCTATCAAACTGACTTTTTAATTTTTTTTTGTGAAGGAATAAACTAAGTTAAACAGTTTTCATTCATATGCAACTACTTAATAATATAAAAGAGCTGAACATGAAAAAGGGTTACACATTTATTCTACTTTCAGGCAGAAAAAAGGAGCAGTTGACAAAATTTCATTTGAAGTTTAAATAAAACAAGCATTAATTAGTTTCTGGGGTTCTAAGAATACAATATTAAATGTATTGTCACGCTTATTACATGCCTCTGAAAATACTTATGCCGTGATTAGAATTTCTCTCTACCCTGCAATGATGAGTTACTGTTCTTATTTCTTGAAACATATGCTCTGAGATCCATGTGGCACGAACTCCACAGAGCAAGGGCAGTAAAAACATTTAGTGAAGACTTTGATGAACTAATCCATCGTGTCTCTGCACTTACAGGTATCCCATCCACATAATTTTCTTTTTTGCCTACGTGTAACAAGGACATGCGCTCAAGTCAGACACATTTCTAATAATCGGCATCATATATTCTTCCCTATTTAGGGTGTTAGATAAGATTTTACTTGCCAATTATGGCACAGTACAAAGGAAACAGACAATAAGGATTTAAAATATCAGCCAAACCAGTTATTTCAGCCTTCGATTCTAGACTGCAGGTTTGAGTGCGTACTTATGTGACTGTGTTACCAAAATGCCACATTACTTGTGTTTCCCTTTTTGGTACAGTGAAGTGAATCTATAGCCCTTGAACTTTCTTTCAAGATTTATTTTTCCAGCCTTTAAAAAAAAATTATCTTTAGTCTCTAAGTTAAAAATTCCAAAGTTCCATTACATGCAAACTTAACCAACTCAAAATTATTGTTTTTTTCTTGACAACTGTAACACACTTGCATTTCGGAATGTAAGTTATGATGTATTTCAAGAACATATGACATAAAATACCTCAAATACTATGCACAAGAGGGCACGGTTACAGCCCCATAGAGAACAGTTCTGAACATGCTGACAACTGTGAGTTTATTCTCCCATCATGATGCAACACAGATGCCGAATACGGATCACCTGCACCTTATGCCAAGCACAAATCCACTTCCATCTTCAATTCTTATCAGCCACACTGCTGTCTGCGAGCGGAAGTGCACGTGAGTCTTGCAGGATTCAGCGGTCACTGTCTTGTGACCACCAGCCCCCGTGAGGGCTACCAAGCTCTGAAAAGCACCAATTCCCACAGCCCCCGGAAACCGGCAATCACTGTAGGAGACTGCAGCAGTTAGCAGCGGTGACGGTTTTCACATAAACGATCCAAGCTTCGAACCTGTGATTACCAACCTCCTGCTGGATTCAGTAAGAGGAAGATCAAGCCTAGCTCTTATGCGTCTTATTGAGGATTATTCCGACATCTCAATCTCCAACACATCTACCAATACCGCAACTTACTCGCACAGGGCTTTGTTTTTCTTTTTAAACGCTAACAAAACATGGCACAGAGACTGACCAGACAGATACAACCTTCTGTCTGATTAGCGCCTTTTTTTATCAGCCACATCATTGAATAAATCAACATACCCAAACCATACACATTGCATTTAAAACCAAAAATTATACACACAGCAGCCATCTTACCTAGATGTTTGTAATGGTGGTTATGAGCTTGCAGCAAAATCTTTACTCGATCCAGTGGTGCAGTAGTTGTTTTGGCACAACATCCTGCAACACCTTTCCAAGAGGGGAAAAAGAAAGGTGACGGGATGCAAAACTTCTTTACATCAGCAGATAAATAAGGGATTTTTCTAATGTATTTTTAAATGGAATAGGGGAGGAGAAACTCAGGAACTGGAAAAAGCCCCAATGACAAGTAAACAGCCTCTATTAGAAGTATGTTACAAAACCCTTAAAGCCTTAATGAAATGTATAAGCTACTTTCCCTGATTACAAAAACCCAGGCCACCCTCTCTCTCAGCTGCTGAAGTCACAGCAGAAGCTTTCAGAGAAAGTTACTCAAGAGTCTTCCACCCTGCTTCCTCCTTCTGCGGAAACAGACGTAGCTGCTCTCCCCAAAGGAGTGGGCTACGTGTCCGCCGCGTACCCTGTGCTACTTCAGAGTGAGATCCAACAGCGAGTGCAGCCTGACGCGAAAACTAAACAAACGAAACATCTTCCTGCCCCCTTGCAAACCAGACAGCTGGGACAACACCCTGTAAGAAGAATAAACAGGCTTTTTCCCCAAGAGGTTAATAACATGGCGTTGTGTTTGCTAGGCTGCCCCCCTTCACACCACCTTAATCTTCACAATAGCCGCCGCAACTGTTTCGGGACACGGATAACCCCCCCTTCCCCGAGTACCCTAACGAGGGTTTGGGCTCTTTGAACATTATTCACTGGCGCCTACGCGGGGCTCTTCGCTGGTTCTGACACACGTGCGAGTCACTTGCGTGTACCGAGTCACCTGCGTTAGCACATCAGCGGAATAAAGGGGGGAAAAAGGAAAAGAGAGCCCACTGCTTCCCCAGGTGACGATACCCTCAGCGGCAGTTTTGGCGGGGATATTGACACGAAAGTGACCTCCACCTGCCCGGCC